TCCCCCCATCACCACCCCCCCCCCCCCCCCCCCCCCCCCCCCCCTTTGCTCTCTATTTGTGCGTCTTTTTGCCTAGCCGTAGACCGACCACGACTACCACCACCACCGCCGGCGGGGAACGACGGACAGCGGCAGGGGGCGGGGGTGGGGGGAGGCGGCAGTGATGGTGATGAGGGGAAGACCGCGAAATCCCTGACAGCTCCCTCGGATGATGACACCGACGACGATGGTGAGGACGACAGCAGCAGCGACGGCGGCGGTAAGGGCCACGGCGGCAACGGACAGGGTGACGGAGATAGAGGGGTCCCGGCGGATGGGGTAAAGCAGGGACCGGGCGTAGGGGGGGGTGTAGTCGCGGGAGCGGGAGACGGAGGTGGTCTCCTCGCCGCAGAAGGGCTAGTTGATCCTGACCAGCTAAGGAGAGAGGAGCGGCGGGCGCGGCTGAACGGCCTCGTGGCCGCGGCGGTGGAGAGGCAACGCGGCCAGGAGTGCAACGTGGCGTTCGTGAAGACGCACAAGACGGCGTCGACGACGATCACGGCCGTGCTCTACCGGTACGGCCTGCGGCACGGGCGCAGGGTGGCCCGGTTCAAGGTGGAGGGCACCGCGGTAACCCTGGAACACGCCGCGGAAGAGGTGAGAACCGGCACGGGACGGGGAAAACCGGGTTGTTTTGTCTGGGTCGGGCGGGATTGTGACCGGAAGAGGAGTTCAGGCCGGTCTTAGGGACGCGGTAGGTGTGTATGCCGCGGCAAGCCCGGCGCGATGGAATACCATAGGCGTCAACAGGATATCACACCCCCAGGACCGATTTTCTGAGCTCGTTGACTAAATACTGTATTCCAAATGGACCAATGAACACGTATGATCCAAACTATACGTTTTGGAAACGTGCTCGACGAGATGGTTCCAATGCCGACACTTTCTGCGTCGCCACTCCCTCTGTTTTGGAGAAATGAAGTCTTGAAAATCAGTCCAGGGCGCGTGATACATTGTTTTTTTCTACACGCGTAACGACCTGTCCTTCGTTTTGATTCGTCGTGGTGCTGGCCGTTGTGGTACGTTGCGTCCTCCGCCTGAGTCGAATATTTCTACCCCATTGCACGCACGTCCTAACCCCCGTAACCACTAAAGTGCAGTCCGCTGAAGGGCTCTCAATCAATGGGTAGAAGCCAGGACCGTTTTTTTTTGTCAAGATTAGAGAACAACACCAAGACGCCGTCCACAGGAACATTACCCTCCGCCTCCCCCCCCCATGTGTTTGCGTCCACAGACGAAGGAGAGCGGCAACCGTGTGGACATTTTCCACTACCACTACGTGTGGAACGGCTACTTCGAGTCGACTTGGGAGAAAGCGCGGGGGTTGTTCAAGGACATCATGGCCGAGCCGGTTGCACCCCCGGTGGCAGCGGCGGCGGCGGCGGTAGAACCCAGGGAAAGCAGCAGCAGCGGCACGAAGTTCGTGACGGTGCTGAGGGATCCCGTCGATCACTGGCTGTCGTATTTTTACTTCTACTACGAGCCGGAGATGAAGGTGAGGTTCTCTCGGTAAAAGCTCGCCTGTGGGGCGCCGCGCTAAGATGTGGCGTGGTGCGGGGATTGGTGGTCCTGGGTGATGAGGCTCGTCCTCTTCTCTGTCACCCCTCGTTGCTGCGTTATAAGTACGAAGTTGTTGTTTGGTCGTTGTGTTGCAGGCATCAAGGCACGAGACCGTTTGTGACTCTGTTGTCGGTGTATATACCTGGGTGCTGAGCCTCTTCTCCTGTTGGCTGCTTCACGAACACGGTTATAGTAAACATGTACTTCAGCGGGAAGGAAACCCCTTCTCGTGATCGACACAAGTTTCATCCAGACGCCCTCACACCCACCGCTCGCACAGGGCAGGCAGACTAGATGATATTCGATTTTGTAAAACCCATGACCCATTAAAGTCGTGCGTTGCGCGAACGAACCTCAACGACCACGGCGGTGATTTGTGGACGGTGCTCAACCAACCCTACGGCGACAAACAGATGGACGTGGAGGAATATTTCTCGTCGGGAAGGCACAAGAACCGGCCCCTCAACAACCCTCTGGCGGCGGAGTTCGGGATCTACAACGAGAGAGACCTGGACGAGTTCGTCCTCAACCACCTTACCGAGCTTCGCCCTGGTGCGTACCGTGTGCCGTATGTGTGCGGCACATCCGCCCACCCCTGTGCTTACTATCCACATCCGTCCGTGTTAGATGGTGTTTTTATATCGTCGAGGTACTGTCCACATCCGACCGCGTTAGATGGTGTTTTAAAATCGTCGAGTTACTTCGGGAGAATACGCGATTCGGGAGAACATGCGATTGGTGCACGGGCGTGTTTTGTTTTTGTTTCTTAGGTGTTCTGTCTCGTACGTTATTGTCCTCGGTTACTTGTCGATGACAACGGGGGGGGGGGGGGGGGAGAGGAAAGGAAGCATGGTGTCGTGCGTGTTGCGTTTTGTTTATTCTCGATACATACTGTACTTGCATTAAGTGTTGTCGTTGCATGTACGTGTTGGGCGTGTGTCCCGCCGTGTATTTTCTGCGGTCGAACTACACGAACAGCACCCCCAACAAACAGCACCCCCACGACGACGACTGGCTGTGGCACCACGGCCTGGCGACCCCCCCCCCCCTACCCGCGCTTGTGGTGGCCCCCTTCCCACCAGACCATGCTCACCGAAGATGTCGACGAGGGCCTGGTGCTGCTGGGCAGGGTCATGGGCTGGGACCCGATAGACATCACCTACACCCCCCTGCTGGAGGCACGTGACGGTGGCATCCGCTGGGACGACAAGCCCATCCAAGAAGGCGCCGAGGCTTAAAGACCTGCATCACTGGGTGAGCGAATGGGAGGGTGCTATCCAACGTCATGTCCCCGTGTGGGGGTTTGCCGAAGGGGCTGGCGAGAGTGGGGGGAAGGGACGGGATAAGTAGTCATCTTGGGGCTTATCACTAGGTAAAATACGAGGACTTCTTAACATCTTAGGGACGGACTTTCAGCTTGTTTGTTCATTTTAGCTGGTGTGTGAGGAGTTCTGGGCTGTCGGGGGGTGGGCCGGAGGGGGTCCCTCTTGCTGGCCCGCGTGACCTTGGGGCTTTGATGGCTGTGGTTGAGACTTGCCAGGGTGTCGAGTAGTTTGCAGGGGGGCGTCGGCGAAGGGTGCGCAGGAGGCCGAGAAAGAAGGGAGTACACAGGGATGAGGATTGAATTCTCAGTCAGGACCACTGCCGTGCAGTTTTTCAACTCTGGGCGGTGTCTGATGCATTTTGGCTTTCCCTCTGCCTTGTCTCCCTCTCCCTCTCCCTCTCCTTCTCCTTCTCTCTCCCTCTCTGACGTCCCCCCCCCCCGGTCTCACTCTCACTCTGTCTCTCTCTCTCTCTCTCTCTCTCTCTCTCTTCCCGTCACTGTCCCACCATTGCTTCTGACAGACCTTAACCGAGCTGGAGCGCGTGACAAAGCTGGACGCCGCCCTGTACAAGGCGGCCAAGGAGGCCTACGGCAAGGTACAGTACATAGGAGTGGTCGAAACGAAACGATCGTGTTGAAGTAATATATTTAGTAAGGAGTTGATAATTTTTGGGTTACGCTACGGTGTCAAGGACTGAGAGTTTTTATGTATCACCAAGCCCTTAGCCGGGATGATGGATTACGAACTGTCGTTGATACACGGGGGTGGTTGTGGTGCGACGAGGCATCTATTTATAGAAGCCTTGTTTTGTGACTGTAGTTGAGACCTGGTCGCCCCAGAGGGGGTCCAAAAGGCTTTTGTGCAAGGGGGGGGGGGGGGGGGGGTGCACAACATTAAAAACGCCACAAGAAAGCGTCGCATCGTATTTGGTCCGCGGGGGGCGCAAGATATAGATTTCCTGCCGATGCCACACGATGAAGTAGTAGTTTGTTCGAGTCCGTAGTAGTTCAGAAGCGGACGGCAAGACGCACGTGAGGCCCTTGGATCAGTCAGGGTTGAACGCAGGGTAGGGCAATCTGTGCCCGGAAGGCTCCGAGGAGGCGGGGACGGTGTCTCGAACGTGCCGGCAGCATATGGCAGGGCTATGTATGTATATAGCTATGGTTTACTGTATTACTAGGTGAGTACTATTTTCCAGTAGCCGCGTCGTTTTCACAAACGCCCTTCGCGGGTCTCGGATGCTGGTTGTGTCTGCAGCCAAGGGAGCCTCTCGGGGAGAAGGGTTAGGATTGCACAGGCTTGGAGCTTGAAGTGCTCATTTCTGACTCGTGATACGATTCGTTGTCCCACACCGACGTTGCCGCTTTGCCTTTTTCGTACTTCCCTCCTCTTGACTCGTACAATAGGTTTTGCGTGTCTTTTTGCTTGTTGTGTTTTATTTTTTTGTTTGTTTTTTCGAGTGCGGGATGTTCGTTCGCTCCTCTTCGGCCCGAACAAAACGAACGACGTTCGTTTTCCCCTTCCTGTTGTCGCTTGATGATGGGTTTTTATTTTTCGTCCCGCGAGAAGGTGAAAGAGCTGCACTCGGAGGGCCTCGAGGAGGCGGTGGCGGACTTCCGAGACCTGCAGCTGGACGTGTTGGCGGCACTCAACGAGGGGGTCGGGAGAGGGGGCCAGGTGTCGCCGGCACGGGCGTGGTACATGCCGGAGTCGGACTACTACTTCTACAGCGCCGACAAGAGCAGATGGTGGGAGGAGTACTACCCCCCCGCCTTGCCATTCTAAGGGGGGCGGGGGGGGGGGGGTGTACTCATAGTCGTGCATGCCGCAGTCATTAGACCATTGCCATTCTAGGAAAAGGGGGGGGGGGGGTTATGATGCCGGCGTTGAGCTTGGTGGGTGCAAGGACCACTGCTGCTGTTGCCAGTGAGCCGTTTCGACGGCGGGAGGAAACGCGAAAAGCGATGATGAGAGATCGCTGATGCTGTCCCGCCTGCCTTGAGGTCGTGGCGAGAAGGCGGTGGCGTGACGGAGCGGGGCGGCGCCACGAGGGCGCTCGGTTAGTGTTTTTTTTTTTACGGATTCGATGGTGACGCCGGGGATATCTATTGCTGCTGCCCGTGGGTTTCTCTGGACGGATCGGGCAAAGACACGGCAGGAGATGCTATACTGCTGCAGATGACGCGAAGGGTATCGTTGCCGTGGTTGCTCTTGGCGTGTAGCTGGCGACGCAAAAGGGAGGAGGAGGAGGAGGAGGAGGAAGGGCGGAAAGGTGACCTAGGAGCGTGCAGTCGTTTCGCCGTTAAAGAGAGTTGTGTCGAAAACAACGCGTCCGGATGAAGAGGTCAAAAAGGGATCGCTTTTCACTTGCGCCCGTGTTGATTTGATTGACCCGCAACCAGTTGCCTGGATTTCTTTTTTTTGCAGAGAGTGGGTGGGGGGCTGATCTGGACTCAGCATCTTGTGTTTCTATTGCAGCAACAGCGGTGGTTGGTACGCACGACTATCACTCCCGGATTCTGTTTTTTTTAGTCCCACCGAGCGTTTGTGTGCTTTTTTAATCCTTTAGGGGGGGAAACCCATCGAGAGGAGAACGACACAACGCCGACGTTGACGATGAGCTGCTCATGGCGCATTTTATTTATTCTGTTGTTAGGGGTGGCGGACAATTACAACAACCTTTTTTCATCCCTATATTATGTACAGTTGCCTATCACTTTGCCATGTTTGCGTGGTCAGATCTTTCATAAATTGTGTGTTGTAGTTTTTTTTTTTTTTCGTCCGTCGCCGGAGGACCGCCGCTTTTCCGTTTCTGGTTCCCACCACCCGTTTATCTACGATGTGTGCATGCGTTTACTCTTCTCATGAGTGTCCGACAGCACCTTGGTGGTGGCGGGAGGGCCCCCCTGTCCATGACTTCAAGAATTTATGGATTTTCGGATTTCACCTAGGAAGACAGTGGTTGGAGTGAGAGAAGGTCTGGTGGTCGTGCAACTCGGTGGGCGGATGCGGTACGTGCGCTCCGATTCCCGGCCGCCGCGCGCGGCGTGCGTTGTAGAAAATTGGGGACCGTTCCAGCGCACAAGGTGGAGATCGCTACTATCAGTATTAATAGCGATCTCTGTCAGCGGGGTATTCGTGCAGAGCTGTCGGTTGTTCTTGTGTGTTTCTGACGACGGGTGCGGGGGGTGGTTCCGGTTGTAGCACGCGCTTGGTGTGTGTGTGTTTTTGCTCGCCCTCGTCTCCATCGCTATCGCAGGTGCCGGGCGCGCTCTACAACAGAAGGGCATCGGCGTTGTGTTGTGTTTGGGGACTATTGATGTTGGCTGAGCCACACTCGATTCAGCTGTTTTGAGGTTTTCCCTTTTTTTTGTTTTGTAGTTTTGTCCCCGTCGACAGCTTTTGCTGTTTTGGGGTCGTGTCACCGGTGTGTGCATCTACAGAGTAGTGTTAGGTACGTATCTGGTGTCTGTTACCAAGTCATGCCTTGAGACCACAGGGGTCAGGAGGGCATACGTGCAGTAGTAGCACGCGTGCTCTCTACGGCGCGACACAACTAGAATAGAAGGGCTTGTTTGTTGGGCGTAGGTATCTATGCAATTACACGCACGCTTCGTCTTGTTTGTTCGTTTGCTCGAGCCTTGTTGCTAAACGTCGCCCATGACCAGTTTTCTCTCGAAATACTGCCTGTATCCGACGTGGCTCGCACACGGCGTGCCTGTATGTCATTAGACCACTTGGACGACGATTATCGAATGGACGGGTGGAAAATAGCTCATTTTTATTCGGCGGGTTTGTGATGCTGCTGTGTGTGTCTCCTGTTCCTCGAGGTGTGTGTAAGTGTGTGTGTTTTTGTAGCACGACGGTGATGTCCGGCTGGCCAAGTGAACAAGGGGTCAGTACCAGCCGGTGCATCAACGTCCCTGGAAGTATGTGTGCGTTTCTGGTTTCTGTCCCTCTTTCCCATCATGATTGCCGTCTTTTGACTACTGTATTGTCAGCAGCTCTCATTGCGTGTCTCTCAAGCATGGCCCTGTTTGTGGGTAGCTGTTCGCGTGTGTTGGTGTTGTTTTCAGTGTTATGACATGTTGCGGTGGTGTATTTCTCTTCCTCGGCATGTACATTGATTGTACTCAAACGGGGATAATGAACCTACGTTCCCGCAAGAAATGGAGGAGGACTCGCCTGTCGTGTTGTTTCTGTTTTTTTCGACGTCCATATATATGTTCGCTTCTCAAGTGCAACCGACCGTACCTTTTTTGTGCGTGTTACGTCGCTAACACCCGGTAGGAGGAAGGACGAGCTGTGGCATTGTTCTCACTGTCACATCTTTTTTTTTCATCTTCCCTAGCTTGAACTCTGGACGAGATGGAATGGAGAACTATCAAAGGTCAGCCGACCGGTCGGGGAAGGCTGTAGCTTGGACGACACTTTGGCGAGAGGGCTTTCCGACGCGCAATTGGTGGACCCGCTACCCGCCTCTTTCTTGACCCGCTGCTGTCGAGAATTCATGACGGGGAAAAATATCTCCCTCCCCCTCCTACCAGACATCCAGGACAATAATCCAGCTTGGAGTTGAAACCAGGTAATGGTTTCCCATTTTTCATCATGGAGAGCAACAACCAGCTGTGGCGCATTTCAGACTTATTCCTCTCCCTTTCTCAACCTCCGGGTTGCTCGTTACGTTACTCGTTGCTTGGGGCACACAACGCAAGGCTGCAGGCAGATTCGACGCTACCGTAGCCAAATGTACCAGACAGAGAAGACATTCTGCAGGAACGCCTTTATCTCGGAGTCCCAAGGAAATGCCTACTGTAGTAGCGCGCATTTTTGTCTCCGACAATCATGGCGCGTGTTCTTCGCACAGATTTCTGTCTCACATCTTGCTCTCTGTCTTGGCTCTACCTCTCTCTCTCTCTCTCTCTCTCCCTCTTCTCCCTCTGCCTGTCTTCCAAATTCTATCGAGAATCGAAAGAACTGCGACTGCATTGCACAGCCGTGGCTGTTTACACAGCCCAACCCTACCCAATGGCACGAGGAGGCCGTTGCCGTACCCCTACTGCACCAACAGAAAAGTGCGGCACGACTCTCTTGCCTGTCCTTTCCAGATTCCCAGCACGTGCCGGACGTAGCATATGCGTGTACGCAGCCCTCTCTCAAGGCTACCGCGGAGGAAGGAAGACCGCCTTCGCGCGATTGATTAAGTTCACGAGGAAACAGAACAGGGAGGGGGTACGCAGACCCTATATTCCCTAACTCCAACCATAACCCAACTTCTCCGATTGATTGCATGCTTTATCTAACATGCTTGCTGAATACAAGAAGCCTGCGAAGGCTGCTGAGGAAGGGGAAGGGAACCCATCCGATGCACCGAAGCTGCCGTCCAATCAGTCAAACCCACCACCACGACAAGAAAAAAGAGGTCGGCTTACGAGTCTGTTGGGTCTGGCCCTCCAGGAAGAACGGTCAAAATTCAGCCTCCAACCTGCCTACCAACCTATTCAGAGTCGAGTGACAATTCAAGCAGCATACGATCGACGGATCAGCGATCAATGGCCGTCGCCATCAACCCCGCCGCCGGTAGCCCTGACGCCCGAGGCTCCTAAGCAGCAGGTGGATAGGGAGCAACCCCGCGGTCGCCGCCTCCTCCGACTCTGGGCGTCCTTCCCCTCCCCTGCCCCTTCTTTCGCCAGAGGCATCGCTCTCGCCCGCGGGGACATCACCCGGGGACGTCAACCAAGCATCATCACCACCGTCATCGCCGCTGACAAAACTTCTTCCTCTGCCTTCTTCTGCCTCTCGCCCCTCCTCCTCCTCCTCCTCCTCCTCCTCCTCCTCCTCCTCCTCCTTTTGCTGCTCCTTTTGCTGCTCCACAGCTGCCAGCAGCCCCCTCAACCCCCCCCGGCTGCCGCCGCCGCCGCCGACGTCGCCGGGGTTGCGGTAGCCCTCGCTCCCGATGCCCACGGCGCCGATACCTCCTCGCCTTCCGTCAGCGATGTCACCATTTGCTACTATTCTGTTCTCCTCCTCGCGCCTTCTCCCGGCCGGCGTTCGGAGCGGCACGGAGGGGTGGTGCATCTTCTCGGAACGCTCTTCTTCTTCTGCAACCGCAGCTCGGGGGGACGGCGGCCAGGACTCCTCCCTTCCCGTCTCGGTGTGCTCGTTTCCACGGGAAGGAAGATAGAGCGAGCTTGTTGACGCCGGTGTCCGACTTCTCGTCGTCTCTTCTGGCGACGGGAGCAGCGCTCTCCTGCTTCGTTCCCTGCCTCCTCCTCTGCCCACCGCCCCGCCCGCGTTACCGCGGGCCTGCTGGTCGTGGAACTCCCCTGCCATGACCTCGCAGATGCTCGGCACCTAATTTATCGGCGGTTTCAGCTTCGTGAATTGTGTGAGCCGCGTTTAGTTTGGTGCAATGCTTTATTACGAAACCACAGCGGAGCAGAATAAGCGTGTTGTGGTGTGGTTGAGCCGCCTTACCGGAAGAACACGTAAGTGGGTTCACCTCTCTCGGGTTATTGTTGCAGCAGCAGCAGCAGCAACAAATTGTTACTGGATTTACTCAACAGCTGTCACGTGATCTGTGGATAAACAATGTGACGGTTTTATCCTTCCGGGGAATGCATGGGACGACAGCAAAAAAAAGTAGTGTTTATCTTTGCTTACTTTGACCAAGTCCAGCACGTCGTTGGCGGCCATCATGTCCAGGTTCGTGAACACCAAGTCGAACGAGAGGGAATCGCCGCTTGCCCACCCAAGCACGCCGTTCGTCGGCGCCACGACGCGGTGGTACAAGAGCCGAACTTCGCTCTGGTCGTCCGGGTTGCGCTGTAGATCCACCAGTGACTGTTCGCGGGGGAGCCGTGGGGGGCAATGGGGGGTATTTTACCTGAGATATCCAAAGCCGTAAGCTGCGGCAGCACCGCGCCTAGAACGACGCAAGAGAACCACGCGTTTTCTATTTCTCCCGTCTTAGCACTAGCATATCACGTAGGCAATAAATTGAAATCTACTCGGAGAACACTGGCACACCTTTATCGTAGAAACACACGCCTCATTTACGTTGGTTATTTCTTCCTTTTCGTTTCACCTCTGTTCCTGGCGGCAGCCCCCCGTACCCGGTGTCCTCATCGTCGACGATGGTCCCCGCCCAACGCTCGGCCTTCGTACCGTACCCGAACTCGACTTGTTCCTGCAACGCACGCGTTTGACAAAGCACGCAAAACGCATGAACACTTTGAAAACGGAAAAGGTGGGAAGATGAAAAAACAAAAATCGTACTACGATTCAATCGCAGGCCAACCAACCTCTACCCGATAACTCAGGAGAGGTGTTCGAGAGAGACAAGAGCGAGGCAACCCGGTTTTAGTTTCCATTTGTTGCAGGATGTGCTGATGCTGGCCGCATGGTGTAGCTTCTTCTGTTGCCGTTCCCGGTTGCCTTCGCGTGCGCAGCAGGTAACGTGTACCACAGATACGTAGATCGCCCTTTTCGCGCCACGGTTTATTGTTTCAGTAAATGCAAGGGAGGGAAAACATGGTAGGCAGTTCCTCCATGAGTGTAAAAAACATCAGGGACACTAGGATGGCGGCTGAACCGCTGCTGTGAGGCCGGTGCTAAAAAGAAACACGCACTCACAGACACAGGGAGAAGTGTGTTCGAGTTTGCTGCTCCGCTATGGGACTGACCTCTTTTCACCTGTCAGCACGTTGCAGCGTGGTCGATGCTATGTGTACTTAAACAAACGCACGCACACACATGCGCACCGACACGGCCACACGCCTCCCTCCCTCCCTCCCTCCCTCCCTCGTGAAACGATAACTTTTGATTGATATAACACGCACCACCTACTAGGCGGAGCGTAACGAATGAGGCGTGAGGAATGGTGGCCGCCCGCGAGAGGTAAGGGCTGCGGCAGTACAGCAGTAGAGCCGAAGAGAGAACTATCGCACGGTACTATCGATCGCATCGCATGTAGACGTACCGCGAGGTAAGCTGCCAGCGCGAACGAGGTGTCGCTGTTGGTTTTTCAAGAGTGCTCCTTATTGGGGGCCCAACAGCTAACAGAGCAATACGTAGCACATGGTACAGAATCGAGCAGCATCCACCCTAAAATACCCATCCAAGCAACGTTAACGTTAACAGCAGTCGTCCAGCCCCAAGAGCGGCAACCGCGAGATCGATCACCTTGAGGGTCACGTTGCCGGCCCACGCCGACCCCCGGCAGGTGACGTCCTCGTCAAACGGCGTCGATCCGGGCTGCACCTTCTCCTCGTAGAACAGGCACCTGTCCCCCTTGTACGCCGCCACGTACTCCGTGTTGCCTGCGTAAAGGAGAATAGAGCGGACCCATGGAATTGATGGTGCGGTGCGGCAAAACAGGGAACTGGGCACAGGGGTGAGTGTGGGGAGGAAACTCTGGGGGGAGTGGGGGCGGGGGGGTTTCAATTACATGGAACAAGGGTTTCGTGTCAGGGCCATACCAGTTCTCAGGCCATGGACGGACCATAGTGCCTCACAAAGCCGGGATGGAGTTACAGTAGTAAGCCCGTCGGGTTACCCCCACCCACCAGGATAAAGTGGGGTGTCCATTCATACCTTGGAGTCACACGTCGAGCCCTCGTTTCACTCACAGGGGTACAAAAAGAAAGACAGAACAAGAACAAGAGAAAGCACGAAAGGAAAAAAGATACGTATATAGTCTCTCACCCGCGGCGCCGATGATGCCGAGGTCCCAGAAGCCGTACGTATCCCCTCCGATGGTGACCGCCATGTGAAACCCGTTCGTGATCTCGTCGTGGTACCACCTGGACAAAAAAAAAAGCAAGACGTAACCAACGAGGCAAGACAGCAGTCAGAGAGAGCAAAAGAAGAGCGAGCGATGGCCAGCCATGAATCTGCTGAGCCCCCCCCCCCCCCGTAAACCCTCTCCTGCCCTTCAAAACGAAAAACGATTTGCTCCGTGCTTCCTCCCTCACCAGTGCTCCCCCTCCCACTCCCCCTGCGGCATGACGCCGTCGTCCTCCTTGAGAACCACGCCTGAGAAGCTTTGGTGCGCCGCGTTCGGGAGGCACCAGCTGTTGCTCTTGCCGTTGCCGTTGCTGTCGCTTTTGCCGTTCACGTTAGGCCCCGAGGCTCCTCCTCCTCCTCCTCCTCCTCCTCCTCCGGCGGCGGCGGTGTTGCTAGCCGTCGTCCTGGCGGCAAAGGAACCCGGGGACGACGTTCGCGTTGTCGGTTTCGTAGTCGCCGTTGCTGCTGCTGCTGCTGCTGCTGCTGCTGCCCCCTTGTCGCCGCTCGCATCGAGATCCCCTGCTTGGCACGCGCGTTGTTTTGCGGTTGGTGATTGGTGTGTTTACTTTCCGCTTCTGGTTGCTTCCGAAACAGCACCAGCCGTTACAGCAGCAGCCGTTCGATCGGCGTTCGGCGCGTCATATTTTGTGTGCCAAAAAAGAGTCAAAAAGAGCGTCACGAAGAACGACAAAAAAAAAAAAAATCGCCGGAGCGCACCTTCATCACACAGGAACGCGCATGACGTGTGTTATTGTACGTGTCTCCGCATGGCTACATCGCAGGACGCCCATTCTTCCACACACGTACACTGTTACTGTTTGGTGAACACGAACGTGAAGGAAGCTATTATACAGCAGTACCCAACAACGGGACCCACAACATTGCCGTCCCATATTCCAAAAAAATAGAGACGGCCCCGGGGAACAGGAGCGTTGTGTGTGTGGACCGGGCGCGACTCCCTTATCGACGATGCCTCAACCTTTTGCCCCGCCAAGAACACCCATTCCGTCGTATACTATTATACTGCTGTACGCCTGTTCGTCACCAGCGACACCACGAGAAAAGGGAAGACATTTCACCACCGTCGCCGTGTCAACAGATGGTCGTGTTTTGAGCGAAACGCATTCCGTTGCGCAAAACACCGCATCACCTGGAACACAATACTAACCGGCAGCGGATCCAATATACAGTTTGTCAAGGACAAAGGGGATGGGGGGCGCAGAAGGTCTCCGTTCCCGAAGCTCCGCACAGAGAACGGTGCTGCTGCAGTTTAGAGGGCCCGTACCATGCCTTAGACCCCTCTCCCCCAACACTACCTCTGTGCCCCCTCGCAGCCCCGCACCATTCCACCCCACACAACCACGACCAACCCAAGGCACGACAACAACCTGCAAAGCCCACTGCTGTACCTCGGCTGGTCGCCAGCAATGCCGCCGCCAAAGACGCCGCTGCCGCCCACACGAACAAAGCCGCCGTGACGATCGCTTGCCGCCCTCCTCCCCCGCTTGCGCTCCCACGATCCCTCCTACCGCCATCAATGCCATCCCCATCGCTGCTTCTTTCGGCGACGCTTATGTCGCTATCGCCCTTGTCTGGGAAGAGTCCCTCCCCCTCCGGCGCTGGCGCGGGGGGGGGGGCGCCAAAAGAGTTGTACCCGGGCCCCCCGCCCGTGCCGCTGCTGCAGTTAGTCAGGCGGAGACCGTCCGCTGGCCGGCCTAGCCCCACCATGTACCCGCCAGTGAGCCTGTGGCGGGGGTGTCGCTCGTCCCTCTCTCTCTGCTGTACGAGGAGGGATGCGATCCACCGCTTCTATTGCGCCGTGTAGGGAGCCAGCCGTGCGTGCGTGCACGCCGTTCTTCTTCTCTCCCTCACACACCGAGACGCAGGCAATGGCTCTCGCACCAATCCGTCCTGAGAAGACGTGGAGACGCGCAGATAGATAAGACACCAGCCAGTGCAAGATTTCCTTGCGTGAGGGATGGTCGTATATGGGCTTTCGTTCTTTGCGACTTGTGGGTCTCTCTCTCTCTCTCTCTCTCTCTCTCTCCCTCTATCTCTCTCTCCAGAGGCTCGGCGTTCTTCTTGCTCGCTTGCACGTATTGTGGGGGAAATTTTCAGCGTGATATTCTACATAGCATACTGTAGCTCTCGCTTCTTCCGGGTACAGAAAGAGGAGGGCCACGATAGACCAGTCCTCCCTCTCGCTGCAGATGACCACGAAAAATCAAACCACCACCACCAACAGGGTAAACAACGGTGGTACGCAGGATGCGTGCATGATGCGGAGAGAGGTGTCGCTGTAGATGTGCGGGTGTTTGTGTGTGCTTTCTCGTTCCCATCTAATCCGAGTGCCGGTTTACAAGTGTAACATGCATGTAATACAACTGCTATCGGTACTGCTTTTCGGTGTGTGTTTGACGCCAAAGCCGGGGGTCACACAGACAGACAGGAGGAAGGAGTTTTTTCTACACCTTTCCCCCCCTGCGTTTCGTGTGGCTTCAGTTTGTAAACGGGATAAGGGTTCAATAGCAGTTCGTTCAACGTTCCCTCCCTGCGGTGCGTGTGCCGTCGTTTTGAGAAAGGGGTTGAAAACAGCAGTCCCTTCCCGCTACTAGTGTGTTTTTCCTATTACACTAATGTCGCATCGTCTACAGTAATGCCCTTTCCCCCGCCCTGATTGACAGCAGTAGTAGAGGTTCACACCCGAGAGAGAATCGAACGCCCAACCTGCTACTATTATAGTACGTTTACGACGATAATGCATCCACTAGACCGCCGCCGCGATCGGCTTCCGCCCCCCGCAACAAGCTGCAAGTACAATGCAGGCACACAGCCAAGCTTATTCTCTTGGTTCAGCACGCAGGCACGGAATAATATCTGATGTGTCATCGCCGCCGGGCGGGAAGGGGTGGTGGCACACAAGACGATCGCAACCCGGGAATACAATGATGAGCGTGCGTATTCCAGGACCTAAGACTCAAAATTTTGCATGACAGGTCATGTCACAGCGCACCTTGGGTGTCGTCGAACCAACGAGGCAAGCACCCTTGTGTGCTACGGCTGTACGGCAGCAGTACTGCTGCTGTACATGGCGTGTCACGTGTGCGTGTGATAATGAAAAGATCCCACATGAACGATGATGGTTGATGATGACAAACACGAGGACGAATGCGGATGTGTTATGAATCCAACTGGTATGCGTGCAGACAACAGAGGGTTGCGGAGCGGTGCGTGTGTGCTCTCCTTACACACAACCATGATTACCAACGAACAACTCCCCTTACGCTGCTGCAGGCTGCTGGGCCAAGTACATAGCCCGCGGTACATAAAGCCGGTGGGTGACGCGCGTACCCGGGGGTGAAACAAAGCATCTGCTGTACATTTCGGTCTCACCAGATAATTCAAAAACGCGCACACCTTGCGTTGTCCAAGCAAACCCCGTCCCACCCAATGGTTGCGGTGTTCCCACCGATGAGTATCCCGTACAGCCAAGAGCCAAGAGGAGCACACGCGTCACAGCAGTCCTGCTGCCCTGTGTACTGTGGTGGCGTTGCAAGTTGATGACAAGTGGGCGGGGGCACCGCGAAGTATATTTCAACGGTACCTCCTATTACTGCCCACAGGGTGAGAGCACACAACAAACAATCAAAGCAAACATCACCTCTCCACCATTCGCCACAACGGCAGAGACCCTCTCTCCTGGGAGAGGGGTCATTCGTCAGAGCGTGCGTGCCGGGGAGTCTGATTGGTTCCAGGAAAAGGGCCAAGATGGAGCCTTGGGGCAGCAGCAGCAGCAGCAGTCACTACCAGCAGCCATCGCTTCAGTTCACAAGTACCACCGCAGCAGTAGGCCAAGCAGAACGGGGGTCAGCAGCAGAAGCAGCAGCAGCAGCAGCAGCAGCAGGAGGAGGAGTTGACATCGACTTTGATTTCGAGATCCTTGCGAACTATCTGACGGAGGAGGGGCAGCAGCTCGGCCGAGGCAAGTCAGAGGCGGCTCTGCTAGCTACGAGTAGATCAGAGGAGATAGCAGCCTACCGCACAAAGAATATCGAAAATAATGCTCTTCATTCCACCACAGAGGAACAATGACGTGTACTGCTTCTTCTAAATCTCCACACAGCAGCGTCCAGCAACATGTGTATAATTGGGCTTCGGTCAGCCCTGTGTTGGACAAGCATTGTTGCAGCGTGTGCGAATATGATGTGACGCCGACTTTTTGTGACTACTATGCATGTGCTGGTGGAACCGAGTGTGCTCTCTCGAACCTGTGGTGCTGTAGTCCGTCAGTGTGAACCCCCACTCAACACCTACAACATGCAAGACTTTTTCAAGTCAGCAATAATTAGGCAAATACTTTCTTGAGAACCTTCGCAAATATTAATAATTGTCTTTCAGTTGCGTGTACATGTATGTGGCCACTTTCGGCGGTGAGAGCGTGTCCGCCCCCCAGCGCATGCAGCACTCCCGGATTTATTTTCCGCGCTCGCTTTCGTCCAGTCTCTACAAGTTTGCCCGCCAAAACGTTCATTTGTAGACTCACCTTACAGCAGTATATGCATAAAATGAAGTAGGTGTGTGTGCGTCCTCTGCAATCTGTGCTACCTTTCTATCGTGCCTTGCCTTATGTCTCGGTGGTTCGAAGAGTATTGCCGGCTGCGGGAGCGGCCCGTTCGTATGTATTTATTATAGTACATTTGTTATCCCGTGGGGTGTAGACATTGGTAGGCTCTCTCAGCCATCAAGCTACTTCTGTATGCATAAAAAAATGCTACAGCAGTAGTACTTGCTATCCGTATGTAAGTACATGTTTTAGTATGCATACCTTGTCCGATCTTCATGGTCGTCCTCCTCTTCTCTCTGATGCTGATCAAAGAGCGCCACTGCTCCCCCGGCGTCATAAGTTACATGTAGCCTTCATCTCTCCATCCTTACCATCAGAAGGGACTGACTGCCTCCTTCCATCGAAGTTTAACATGCGGTGTGTCATAGGCTACAATCCCACGACACACGACCACGAAAAAGCAGATCAAGCGCTTGCGCGTCACGCCCCCAGAGACACCGCATTAATATATTTGTTCCTCTTCACTGCATGCAAGAGCGAGATACATCCACTACAGCAGTAGTCCATGGACAGGAGGGGGTCTTTCATCTTTCGTTCGTGCGCCTTTGATCCAAGCATATGATGCCAATTTTTATGGCCAAGAACCAGCAATCCTT